TGGGCAGCTTGCTGTTCAGCTTCTTTCCTCGCCTGTGCGTCTTGGGCTGCTTGCTGTTCAGCTTCTTTCCTCGCCTGTGCGTCTTGGGCAGCTTGTTGTTCAGCGTTTTGTGCCCTTGCTTTTAATACGCTTTTTTCCCTCTCTATTTCTATTTCTTCTATCTCTTCAAATTTATTTTTTGACCATTCACCCACATCGGTACGATAACCAGGCCCGGTTAGTATTTTTTCCCATGCTGGACTCCATTCATACCCGGAGTATGATTTTGCTGTACGCGTAACATACTTTAACCATCTGGTCAAAAACATTGACTTCGGCAAATCATTGTATTCACTTAAAATTGTAAAGAACTTACTATACAATTTCTTAAGATGTGGATTTTTAGAGTGCTTTGCCTCTTCCTCTATCTCAGATAAGTAATCCACTATTACCTTATCATCCCTTGTTTTTATTGCTGAATAACCCACTTTTATACATTCATATAACTTCGCATATGCCTCTTCAAATTCTTTTTTTTCTGGAGCAAACAAAGAGTTTAACTCCAAAAGCATTATGTTGACAGATTCCCCTCTTACTGGTCCTAATATTGCATATCTCCCTGTTAGAGTAACCATCTCTAGTGCCTCTAAAAATTTTGCTGAAAATTCTGCTTTTTTCGGACTGATGTCATTCATACAAGTCTTCAATAAATCCATAAATTCATTTGCACCTTCATTACCTATTTTATCAAGTAACCTTATATTTTCTCCACTCTCTGCAAAGCATCCATCTTCAGATGGAACTTCAGATACTAACTTCAGCAGATCCACACCCTCTTCTCCTTCCATCGGAAAATCAAATACTAAATTATGAACTTTTCTTGTGATTGTGAAAATAGACTTGCTTATTAAAGATTCATATTCTCCTCCTAGTTGTTGCAATTTTTCTTGTACTGTTATTGAATTACCTGTGTTAGAATCTCTAACATAGCTTGTTAGTGGTGATGCACCATTAGCAATTAATACACTTAGTATACGTATGCTCGGAGTCTCACTACTAGCGGCATATTCCATGCTTTCTCTTATGCGTTGATGTTGATTGCTTGCTTCTGCTTGTTTTTTGATCTTCTTTTTGAATATTTCAACCTTTTCTTCTTTACTACCATCCATATCTTTAAGCTCTTCATGTAATGGATGATCCTTTACTTTCAATGCAGTGTATAATAAATTATCGATTAATTTATCATAGGCCTCTGTCATAAATTTATCACTCTGTATACCGTTTACAACTTCTTTACTAATACTACTTAACATTGATCTTAATCTCTCCTCGCCACCTCTCAACTTAGACATCTTTGTCGTTAATGACTCATTATCTCTGCGTAATGTACTTGTTAATTGATCACTTGCAATTCTTAATTGATATTGTTCTATAATTTTCTTATATATTTCATTATACATTTCATCATAGTGACTTGATACATCCAACTTCAATACTGATTGCAGAGCAATGTTGCTCTTAAGTGATTCTGTAGCATCTTTTAAACATGTATTTTCACCCGTATAATCGCTGCCATCATGAGAGTATGGAAAGAATCCATTTGCATCTAACATACCTCGCACATTAAATACTTGATACTCACTGCCAACAACCTCATGCTTAAACTCCTTATATCTTTGCAGTATTTTGTTTTCTACATCAGCCAGTTCTTTATTTGCTTTTATGGCATTATCATCACCCATTGTTACTTCTTGAATAGGTAATTCACAATACATCATATGACTAAAGTTCTTATTTAATACTTGTTGTTGTACACTGATTATGTTCATAGGTAACTGATACTTTAAAGTATGAATTATTCCAATAATCTTATGAGAAAGTATAGCATGGGCAAACCAATCCTCTTGCAATTGACAGTGCCTAATGCCTAACAGTATTTGTAAAAATTTTGGATCACTGCTATCTATTGCTACTTTTACCTGTTCACTAAATGATTTATCAAAAAAATTTAACATATAACCTCATTAACCAAATTAAACATATCTTAATTATCATGAGGTCACGAGTCAATCACTTTTTACATAACCTTTTTAATATTTTGCTTACTTGTTGAAAAAAGATTTGAAAGTAGGAACGTTCTTATCTAGCTCTGTTTTGATAGCAAACCAATGGTGTTCAATGTCATTAAAATCAGGAGAATATGGAAGAAGGTAAAGAATTTTTGCACCAACGCTTTTGGTAAACTTTCTTCGACTTATGGAAAGTTGCATTATCCAAAATTACCGTTTGAAAATCAAGTATTGCTTGTTTATGTAATTCTTGTTATCATTACTTACTTAGTATAAGCATGAGGCAAAAATGCAAACAAATGATAGGAAAAAAATAGAACTTCTTGATGAAAATGGAAGAGCAAAACATTTAAGTTCCACAGAAAGAAAGGCAGCTATAGGGGCAGCTATTGATGAATATGACCCAAAATTGGTGCAACTTTTATTGGGGGCAAAGTATTGCATGCTCTGGCAGTATTGGCTTGTTCGGGCAATTTTTAACTTTGATATGCTCTTTTTATCTAAAATGACTAAATGTGAACTTCCCCTAGATATTGCTAATAAACAGTTAGAATACCTTAGTGACAAGAAGCACGTTAACGTCAAAGAATTAAATAATATTCAAGAGAATTATAAAAGGGAATGCTATAAAAAAGCGGGGGAGTTTTATGGAAAAGATAGATTATTACAAATAAAACGTGATACAGGCGGAAGAATACAATTGGAAAGTATTGCTAGAAAATCTCTGGTAGAATCTACGGTAGAACAATTAGCGGGTGCAGTGTTACCTAAGAATGAAGGTTGTGATGTTTCTAACAGCATTGAAGCAGCTGTTAATGCTGATTTTTCTCAAGAATGTGAATCAATGATAGATGAAACAATTAATGAATTTAGACAAATAACTCAAAGTGCCGGTAACGTATGTGATTTACAAAATGCTCTACGCGAGAAAGTAGTAAAGTTAGAAAGTATGGAAAAATCTCTTTCTTCACAAATTAATACAATTGAGGAAGAGATTATACAAAAGATGCAAGATAATAAATTTTTGGATAAAGACTTTGTTAAATCTGAGTATAATAAATTACTTGATCATTATTTCAGCTCTAGTGCATATGCCCGCAACAAAAATAATTTACTATACAGGTATACAAAATCAAATGAAAGTATAAATGAGGCTAAAAAATCCTTGCGAGAGTCGTCTCTAAATTATGGTTTCGGCGAATGTATAGATTATGCTGCACAAACATTTAAAAATGAAAAGGACAAAGAGAAGAAGAAAAAATGTTTAGATATAATAGGAGTGCTGGCTGTCAATGGAGCACATTCAGAATCGTTAATCAACACTTTTGATAGCAAAGAATTAAAGAAAATAGCTTTACAATCAATCTTTACAACTGCAAGAAATGCGTACCAGATATTGTTTGATTTTGATAGAAGTGTTGAATCAAAGTTTATGTCTAATATTGTTGGTGAAGATGGGAAGTTTGCTGATTCTCGAAGTCAGAATGTACGTATCTTAGAATCTAGTGGTTCCCCAATTGTAAAAACTGTACTAGGTAATTTAAAAAAGGTAGAAAAGGAATTACAAGAAAAAAGAGAAAGTGGGAAGGCTAATCGTAGAATTGGTATGTTTAGGAATATGCGGTATTATCTATCAGATTTCTTCAATGAAAAGATTTTAGCACAAAAACTTGATCCACAGTCTAAGGACCAACACATAAAAACGTATAATGTGTTATACGAAACATTAGAAATAAGTTACTTAGCCATGGCAACGGGTGATGATAGGGTAATCATTGACTATGGCAAAGAGTTAAAAAATAAGATAAAGAATGAATCTAACAAAGACATAGTAGAGGTGTATAGTGTTCTATATTCATTATTTAAAGAGTATAGGGTAGCAAAAGGGAAAGAAGATCCGACTAGTGACACTACAAGGTGGAACAGAATTTGGTGTCATTTTCAAGATATATTTCGCACATACAACGATAATGTACGTGAAGATAAGACAATACAGCTTTTACGTGTTGCTATGTATACTACAGAGATTGTATCCGAAGAATATGAAGAACAGCAAAGACAGCGTTTTACCAGAGACTTTCGTAATATAGATCTAAAATTTTTGCCAGGTAATTGTCTAATCAACTGGTTAGGAGCAACTTATGAAGGAATACAAAAAAGTGAACAGGAACAAACTGCACAGAAAGATAAAAAGATAGAAACGGAAAGCCAAAGGGCTGAGCAGGCTGATCAAAGGGCTGAGCAGGCCGATCAAAGGGTACACAGGTTGGAGATAGAAAAAACAGCAATGAAATCATTTAGAAGTGCATTAAAAAAATCAAAATTTGATGATGAGCTATATGATCTAATTGAAGATAGTGAAGATGCAATTGTGGAAGCAGTGACGAAGCATATCATGGAGCACAACTCACTTCCGGAACAGGTGCTTAGTGCAATTATGAAAGAAATAAAGAGTAATAAGGATCAAGTATTAAGAGAGCATGTTATTAATGATGAACTAATTGAAATGGGCATCTCAACTTTGCTGAGTAATGTAAATATAAGTCAAGGTGTTGCAATAGGGAGAAATTAAGTTATGCAACAAAAAAGCATTGTTGATTTTTTATTAAGTCAAAAAAGGTATCGAGTGCTGTGGTGGAGTTTTGGTCCAACTATATTTGAGTATTTATGTAAACAAAAAGATTTTAATGCTAAAGAGCTATTGGAAAAGCATAAGAATAATGTTGTGTTGGAAAAAGAGAGTTTAGCGTTACTTGCAGCACTTGGTGAAATCAAAGCTTACTGGTGGTGGCCATGGAGTGCTACAGTTAAAGAAGTTGTTTTAAGTGAAAGTCAAAAGGAAAGAGCAGAAAAGTATCCAAGCTACTTTTTCTTACACCGGGTAGTGTTAGTGATATTTACCTCAGTGCTTATCCATCGTATTGTTTTTTTTCAACAAAGTGGAGGTTATATGAATAGAAATCAACAATTCAATGATTCTGAAGAATCGTCAGCAGTACAAATAGGACAACATCTACCAGAAGCTTCAGGTAATTTGGCAGCTCAAGATGATCAAAAACAATTAAATATTCAACACTTAAGTTTTCTTGGATCTGCAATGGTTTATAATGTGGAATTAGAATGGGCATTGCATTTAATGGGGTTTTCTTCGCAAACTTTAAGTGAATTAGATAAGAGCTTAGCCCGTGTAAGAGAGGCAAATTATAGTAAAGAAGCAATGGAGGAATATGCTGCATCTTTTAAAGAAATATTTACAGATAAGTATAGAGAGTTGGCACGGAAGGTGCATTCAGATAAGCAAGATGCACGAAATTTATCAAACATACAAGATGAAAAAATGAAGGACTTAACTAATATGAAGGAAGTCATGAATGGGTTATATGAAGCTTCAAAAGAGAAAAGCAATACTTTTAGGTACGAAATGTTTGCTAAAATAGCATTTAATTTTTTACACCAAAATATAGATAATTGTACAAATTTTATAAATAAAAACGTAGTAGCAGAATTGAGAAACGTAACAATTTGGCGGCAAGCTGATTTACTTTACTGTCGCAATGAGTTTTTAAAAAACGCACAAGAGCTTTTTGAAGGGCATAAAACTAACCTGCCAAAGATGAAACAAAATTTTGAAAAATTAATCGATAATTACACTGATCGTTATCAGAAACTCTGGCTTGATAATTTGAGAGATCTAAAACACAGGTGTGGTAAAGATAAAAATTTAAACATTATCAAAGATGAAGTGAAAAAGCTGTTAAAAGAAGGTGCAAGACAACTCATAGTGTTGATTCAACATTCAAAAGGGGCCCATGATGCTATATTGCTAATTAATAAATCCAAATTTAAGAAAGAGGAGAAACAAGAACTTATAGCAGCGTTGAAAGGATCGGAACAAATAACTCCCGATAAGTGCTTTATCTTGCCAATGATGGTGTATAGAGATGTTATGAAGCAATTATTCAGAAGCTATTGTGCAGAAGGTATGTTTTTGCATGATATACCGTATCTTATAGATGTATTTAAGAAAAATGCTGAAATACCAGAAAGTATAGAGTTTTACGTTAAACAATACCTAAATGAATGTTCTCCTGCTAAGTTGCAAGAGTGGAGTGAATTATTAACAAAAAAGGAAGGTTTAGATAGCTCTACATGTTATTATCCAATCAGAGAATTTGTAGATAATGTTACGTACCAGATAGATAAGGTACTTAGTAGATTGTTCGGACCAAGAAAAGCAACAAGAGGGGAAATGAAGCGAGTAATCTTGATACAGATTTTGGATAGGTATATTGTGTGCTTGAAGGAAGAATTTAAAAAAGAAAAGACGTGGTTTAAAAAGAAGGAAGAAGAAATACAACAAATACAAGAAGGTATACGAGAAAAAGATGAAAAAATAAAACAAGCAAGCCAAAGGGCTGAGCAGGCTGATCAAAGGGCTGAGCAGGCTGATCAAAGGGTACACAGGCTGAAGATAGAAAAAACAGCAATGAAATCATTTAGAAGTGCATTAAAAAAATCAAAATTTGATGATGAGCTATATAATCTAATTGAAGATAGTGAAGATGCAATTGTGGAAGCAGTGACGGAGCATGTCATAGAGCACAACTCATCACCGGAACAAATACTGAATGAAGTGATGGGGAAGATAGGGAAAAATAAGGACGATATATTAAGTGCAGAAGATAGCAGTAACGCAATAAATGAAGTAATAGAAGATGCCATAAGACGCTTTATTGTCGGTCAAGTAACAAGAGAAATGGCGGAAAAGGTTGAAGAACAAGAAACACTGAGAAAAAGAGCTATAGATTTAATGCGTGATGATGCCTTTGGGATACCTATAGAAGAAATAAGGCAGAATCAAGATATGATGAAAAATGAGGAAATGGTGCAGGAAAGACAACAATCAAATCCAAGTTCATCAATAAGTAACGTAAATGTACCAGGTACAAGCCATAGATTGTAGTGAAATTAAGTAGGTAACTATACGTGTTATGGGAAATGCTAAAAATATATGCGTCACGTCAAGTTGAGAACAAGCTTAGGAAAGTTTGGACCAAGTTTGCATATCTTTTTTGTGTGAGATTTTTTTAAAGAAAAGGCTTCTCTTTAGCGTAACAAAAAATTCAATTTTGGCTTCATGCAGTATGAAATAAGTGTTGAAAAATATGCACCAGGAAATTTGCAGGAGATCTATGACGAGTGTGCTCAAGTTCAAGTCTATTCTTGAGGTAACCAAAAACTGTTTCAATAATTGATCTTTTTC